TTTGTAACAACTAAGGCAAAAATGTAATTAATTCAGAAAATCTTTTCAGGACCCCACCTTGACGTTTCGGGACCCCACTTTGGGTCCCGACCCCAACTTTGGGAAACACTGCTCTAGACTTTTGAATGTGGATAACATGTAACAACACACTGGATATGATAGTAAGCAGAAAGGTACCTGTTATTAAATCATGTAAAATATGTATTATTATTTCTCTTGAACTAATGTCACAGAAACTCACCCTAACCACATCTGTATAAAAAGCCATGCAACTTTTTGTTTAAGAGAGTATCCCTCTCTTTATGCACTGAGATAAAATGTTGTATATTATTAATGATAATAATTAAGATATGGAGTGTTCTCCAAACTGGAAAATATTTTTTTTGAGAAATTCAGTCATTTGTTTTCAATACATTTAGTTTTCTCTTTATACATTTAAAGTAATGTCAAATCAGGTGACAATCACTGAGTCATGCACAAATAGAGATATACAGAAAGGCGCTGCTCAGCTTGTCTAACTTAAAATGTGTGAGCCAATGTGTAACACCATAATACTTGTAATATGATCCAATATCTTGTTTCAAAGAGCCCAATATTTGGTCATTAAAAAGTATTTTATGATTCCTATAATGGAAGGCGAGCACATTGCATTCCACCCACCCTCTCCAGCCCCTCTCATTCGTTCTGTGTTRCTGATTAAAATCGTTTATTGCCTCTTCTCCCGTCTTGTTGCAGCCTCCGCCTCTCCCTACTCATTCTRAATGTCCGACAATCATTCAAGAGATTGTTTTCTTCCCTTCTGGCACGGACAGCTTTGCTGGCCTCCCTCTCCATGTTAATTTGCCTGTAACTCACCCCAGAATACAGTGTGTGTCTCAGAGATTTAAGGCACCCATTAGAATCTGAGCAGGCCAGTCGATATGACGATCACACTCTTCCTATTAAAACTCATAAATACACAAACAAACTTAGTTAGATAAGAGGATGTATTTACTGACAAGTAAAGAGAAATGCTGGTCTCCCAAGTTTTTTTTTTTTTTTTTTTTTTTTTGTGTTATTGACACTTTTGAATCAAGTATGTTGAACTTTCATTTTATCATAGTATTTCAGTTTGGTAATATGGTGCCTTGTTGCCTGAGGATGGAAGCTGCGGAACATTCTGATCGTTTAATCTTCTTCTAAGTTCCAGTAGAGCACAGACTATCTTTTTGCATCTTTCTTGAAAACGGTCTCCAAGGAGAGATGTGAAAGCCAGCTTCCTTTTAGGATATACTGTAGATACTAACAAAAGGAAGTGCTTTCATTGTCCCTCTTCTCCTAACCCTAAACCCTTTTTACATCTCACTCATTCATTGYTTCATCCTTCTTTTGCCTCCCTCCTGTCTGCTTTCAAAGGATGTAGTGGCTGCACTGACCCTTGAGAAAGCATCCCTTGCATTTGTATCAAGTGATGATTTGTTTTGATTTTCTTAGCATCAAAACATAACACATCCACTTCACCTTAACTTAAACACAGAAAAAACCATGTCAAAATTACAAGACTGCTATTGAAGAATTGTAAATCTATACACATAAAATTATATACTTACAATAATGTTAACAGGCAGAAAAAAACACCTCACAAATATCCCAATCCTTATACCTCAAACAAAGAGTGTGTATCCATAAACACCCACATACAGAGCAGAGAATACAGACTCAGGCTCACACCCACATCAAGCTTTAACTCGTGCAAAAAGGACATGCATCTTTTAGATTTGAACAAAAGCATGGTGGATGCTTTGTTCTTGAAATCTCCTGAAACCTTTTCCATGTCCTATTTTCAACCACTTACCCAAGCATGTGTTGCTCTCAACTAAGCCTTTTAGGCCCTATTAGATGCTTATGCCTATGGGAGCAACAGTAAAGCAGTGACCAGACTACAGGGCACCTCTGGTTTTTCTTATATGTGTAATATAGTGATCAGGCCATAACTTCTACATGGCTGCCAGCTGTCTTTACTGAACTGGTCACATTCATCTGGCCTTTTGTCTCAAATCATCAGGCATGAGTGCACTCACTGTTGCAACAGTGGGGGTGCAGAAGAAATACTCTGTTAATATATCTTTGGTATCAGTTTCTATTCAGGTTTATGGTCTCTTGAGTTAAAGTCCAGACTTTCTATTAATTGTAATCCACAATTAATTTTGTCTAACACTGATTTCCATAAATATATTTGCTAAACTTCTTATTACAGCAGTTTGCACATTTTTTTTTTACTTATTGCCCCTGGGATTTGCTGAAACCACTCTCCCTGTTTGAATATCATGACCTTGTGAGCACTAATGACCACCCCACTGAACTCTTGACAAAGTCCAAGCCATCAACATGTACTGTATGTCCTGCCTGTCATCAGATACAAAATTACGTAGCTAAAATACTGATTTGAGTCTGTCTAGGATTTCCTGATCCAGACTGACAAACAAGTGTTGGCTAACCAACTGGACCAACTGGTGTTTGTTCCACAGAAAAAGGCAGTGGTGATACTGTAGATATAGCAATTTCAAGAAACTGTAACATTGGGAAGAAGGAACATAAGAAATTCAAGAAAAAACAAGGGCAGAAAAGTGAAGAGTTTAGTTCTTCATGGTGACAGTTGTTGTGGATGCATGTGTGTGTTTGTGTAAATAGATTTATAGATTTTTTAGTCTATGCTTGTTAGAAACCAGTTGCTACAAACAAAACAAATGCAAAAATTGACATCCTGCTGAAAGAATGTTGAGTGGTCTGTGATCTGTAATGTGGAGTATCTGCAATAAACTTCCACTTAAGGTGTGAGCAACAAATAAAATCCAAAAACCCAACTTAATTTTTATTCTTTTTTTTAACCTGCAGTTTTTTCTACATTACACAGTCATCAGTAATTGTCTTAGATGTTATATATGTGTATGTATGTATGTACGTATGTATGTATGTATGTATGTATGTATGT